GTCCAGCACGCTGCTGCTGCTGCTGCGGTTGCTGCTGCTGCTGCTGGAGGGGCACAGTTGCTGCTGCGGGTGTTCTTTGCTGCTGCTGCTGCTCCTTTAGGTGCTGAGTGCAGCAGAAAGAGCCTCCATGCTGCAGTCGGTGCCTGGGGATTTGCTGAACATCAAGGCCTTCGCCAGCAGGCCCGATTTGCTGCAGGTGTGTGCACTGCTGCTGCTGCTGCTGCTGCTGCTGCTGCTGCTGCTGCTGCTGCTTGTGTTCGGCTAGGTTTTCCTCGCACTAGCACATCTTCACGGTTCCTGCTGCACGCATTTCTGCTGCTGCTGCACGTTGTGCTGCTGCTGTTTCTGCTGGTGCTCTTGCTGCTGCAGCTTGATTTGCTGCTGGTGCTACTCTCCTCGTGCTGCTGCTGCTAGTGTTGCCGCCCTACTTGCTGCTGCTGCTGCTGCCCACCCGCCGCTGCTGCTGCTGCTGCCGACCCGCTGCTGCTGCTGCTGCTCACCCGCCGCTGCTGCTGCTGCTGCCGACCCGCCGCTGCTGCTGCTGCTGCCGACCCGCTGCTGCTGCTGCTGCTGCTGCTGCTGCTGCTGCTGCAGGTGCTGGGTCACTCGTTCGCGCCGGCGGTGTGCGGGCACGACGTGGTGAAGCAGGGTTTGCTGCTGCAGCTGGCGGGGGGCCGTTTGCTGCAGCAGCAGCAGCACAGAGTGCGGGGGGACATCCACGTGCTGCTGGTGGGAGACCCAGCAGCAGGAAAGTCGCAGCTGCTGCGGTTCGCGCTGCGGCTGCTGCCGGGGGCGGTCAGCAGCACGGGCCGCGGCAGCAGCGGCGTGGGGCTGACTGCAGCAGTGACTGCAGCAGACGCAGCAGAGCCAGCAGCAGCAGCAGCAGCAGCAGCAGCAGCAAAGCGCGTCGAAGCAGGGGCCATGGTCTTAGCCGATAAATCCCTTATTTGCATCGACGAGTTCGACAAAATGCAAATCCAAGACAGAGTCGCCATCCACGAAGTCATGGAGCAGCAAACGGTGACAGTCGCCAAGGCCGGCATCTACACCACCCTCAACGCCAGGTAGCTAGCTAGCTAGCTAGCTAGCTAGCTAGCTAGCTAGCTAGCCGGCTGGCTGGCTAGCTGGCTAGCGGGCTGGGGGGACGGGGGTGGCTAGTGGGGCAGCTGCAGAGCTGACTGGGGGGCCAAAGAGGTGGATGGCGAGAGAGCTGGTAGCTAGCCAGCTAGCTAGCTAGCTGGCTAGCTAGCTAGCTGGCTAGCTAGCTAGCTGGCTGGCTAGCTAGCTGAGTTGCTAGCGAGAGAGTTCACTAGCTAGCTAGCTAGCCAGCTGGCTGGCTGGCTAGTTAATCAGCTAGCTAACTAGTTAGTTGTTCAGCTAGCTGGCTAGCTAGCAGGTCACTTGTTCAGCTGGCTAGCCAGCTAGCTAGCTAGCCAGCTAACTAGCTAGCTAGCTGTTTTTATTCAGTTTGTGGTTTGTGTAATTGGTTCTTTCTGCACCCCTTTGGCTGCGTGTGTACATTTGAATTAGTTTAAATAATTTTTAATTAATTTAAATATTTAAATTAATTTAAATCATTTAATTAAAGCATTTAAATCAAAATATTTGAACTTATTTCATTAATTATAATTAATTCAAATATTTAAGATTACACTATTATTTAGTTTCCACTACCCGCTGCTGCGGCCCCCCACAAACTATAAATAGACAAATAAACAAATTAATTAATTAATTAATTAATTAATTAATACCATTTAATTAATTAATTAATTAATTAGTTAATTAATACCATTTAATTGACTAGTGCAATATAATTAATTAATTAATTAATACCATTTAATTAATTCATTAATTAATTAGTTAATTAATACCATTTAATTGACTAATGCAATATAATTAATTAGTTAATTAATACCATTTAATTAATTCATTAATTAATTAGTTAATTAATACCATTTAATTGACTAATGCCATATAATTAATTAATTAATACCATTTAATTAATTAAAAAGTACCATTTAATTACTTAGTGCCATTTAATACCATTTAGTTAATTAATGAATGCATTTAATTAGTTAATTATTTACTTATTTAATTTATTTAATGCTAATTAATTTATTATTTTTCAATTAGTTAATTATTTACTTATTTAATTTATTTAATGCTAATTAATTTATTATTTATTCTCTTTTTTTCAACAATTTAATTAACACTCTTTAATTAACTAACCAATACCAATTAATTATTTATTTATTCAATACCACTTTACTTATTTATTTATTTATTTATTTTATTTGTTTTTTCATTAATTTAAAACTATTTGCTTATTTATTATCTATTTAAAGCTGTTTATTTATTTATTTATTTATTTATTTATTTAAATTTATTTATTTATTTATTATTATTTAAATTTATTTATTTATTTATTTATTTATTTATTTATTTATTTATTTATTTATTTATTTATTTATTTGCTGCCAGGTGTTCAGTTCTTGCTGCTGCCAATCCGCTGTACGGCTGCTGGAGCGAAGGCATTTCTTTTCGGCAGCAAATTGCCTTCGAAGATTCCCTCATGAGCCGCTTCGACCTCATCTTCATCGTCAGGTCTGCTGCTGCTGGGGGTGCTGCTGCTGCTGCTGCTGCTGCTTTTGGTTGTTTGTTGGTGTTCCTTCCGCCGTTGCTACTGCGGGCTGCAGCCCGAAGGTGCAGATCTAGGGTTTAGGGTTTAGGGTTTAGGGTTTAGGGTTTGGGGTTTAGGGACGCGACGACTTGCGAAGAAGACGACCGGCTGGCTGAGGCGGTGCTGCGGAATGTGACGGAAAAAGCAAAGCCAGCAGCAGCAGCAGCAGCAGCAGCAGCAGCAGCAGGAGTTGCTTCTGGGGACCGCAGGGGACACACTGACAGCTTCATTCAGCCCCAAGCAGACATGCTGAAGGCCACGCATGCAGCAGCAGCAGCAGCAGCAGATTCGCAGCAGCAGCAGCAGCAGGAAGAGCCAGAGCCTACCCGCGCCTTCTACCACAGAACAGAAATGCTCTATTATGATAAAAAAGGGTAAAGCAGCAGCAGCAGCAGCAGCAGCAGCGGCAGGAGCTGCAGCAGCAGCAGCTGCTGCTGCAGCAGCAGCAGCAGCTGCTGCTGCAGCAGCTACAGTAGCTCCAGTACCTGCAGCAGCAGCTGCTACAGCACTGCAGCAGCAGCAGCTATCCAGGACCCGGTAGTTGGCAATATTATGGCACGACCTAGGGTTTAGGGTTTAGGGTTTAGGGTTTAGGGTTTGTGTGCAGGCGAGAGCACGAATGCCTAACGCACGACGAGAGCACGAATGCCTAACGCACGAGTTTCTGCGGATGTACATAGCCCTGGTGCGTTCTGGCGGCGTTGCTGCTGCTGCTGCTGCTGCTGCAGACGAGCAGCAGCAGCAGCAGCAGCAGCAGCAGCAGGCCGAGGAGGAGGAGTACGGAGACGCTGTGGGGCCCCGGCTGTCCGAAGCTGCTGCTGCTGCTCTCGTGGACTTCTACACAGAAATCCGGCAAAGGGCGCAGCAGCAAAAACAAACAGCAGCAGCAGCAGCAGCAAGCTGCCTCATGCAGCCCGTCACTGTACGTACACTCGAGGCCTCCATCCGCCTTGCTGCAGCACACGCCAAGTTGAAACTCAAAAAGTGGATCACCACAGTGAGTTGCTGCTGCTGCTGCTGCTGCTGCTGCTGCTGCTGCTGCTGCTGCTGCAGGAAGATGTGCGGGTGGCGCAGCAAATGCTGCTGTACAGTTTGTTTGGAGAGCCTTATCCTGAAGATGGAAAAGAGACAGAAACGGAGACAGACACAGAGACAGAAAGCGAGTCGGACGGCGAAGCAGCAGCAGCAGCAGCAGCAGCAGCAGCAGCAGCAGCACGGCGGCAGCGCAAAAGACAAACTGACAAACGGTGGGCCTGCGGCCCTTGCTTCTCTTCTTTATTTGTTTTCATTTATTTTCCATTTGCTTATTGCCATTAATTAATTAATTAATTTATTTATTTATTTATTTATTTATTTATTTATTTATTTATTTGTTTGTTTATTTTCTTTCCTCTTCTTGTTTGGCTTTGCAGGCCAAGAAGGGGAAAGGGAGCCATCACAGAAGGTCTGCTGCTGCTGCTGCTGCTGCTGCTGCTGCTGCTGCTGTTGGTCCCAAGAGCCGTTGCTTGTTGCTGCTGCTGAGCCGTTGTGGCGTCGTGCTGCTGTTGCACTTGCTGCTGCTGCTGCTGCTGCTGCTGCTGCTGCAGATGAGGAGATGGCTGAGGAGATGGAGGGCCTGGCGATCACTGAGACGAAAAAAAGGCGAACCCGCCGAGCAGCAGCAGCAGCAGCAGCAGCAGCAGCAGCAGGAGATGCAGAAGCAGCAGAAGACGGACGGAGGGAAGCGCTGCAGGCCCTTGATGAACAGGGGCTCAGGTAAATGTTGCTGACGCACAAACAGCTAGCTAGCTAGCTAGCTGTCTGGCTAGCTAGCTGGCTAGCTGGCTAGCTAGCTAGCTGGCTAGCTAGCTGGCTAGCTAGCTGTCTGGCTAGCTAGCTGTCTGGCCAGCTAGCTGGCTGGCTAGCTAGCTGGCTGGCTAGCTAGCTGGCTGGCTAGCTAGCTGGCTGGCTGGCTAGCTAGCTAGCTAGCTAGCTAGCCACGTTACTAACTAGCTGACCAGCTACATAGCTAGCTAAGTAGATGGACTCCTAGTTGAGTGACTAGCCACTGGCTAGCCGGCAAGCTGGCTGGCTAGCTAGCCAGTTGGCCAGCTAGCTAGCTAGCTGGCTAGCTAGCCGCGCCACTAGCTAGCTGTCTAGCTAGCTAGGTTACTAGCTGAGAATTTCGCTAGCTAGGGCGCCGCTTTCCCGGATTGTCTGCCGCAGCGCTGCTGCTGCTGCTGCATGCTGCTGCTGCATGCTGCTGCTGCTGCTGCTGCTGCATGCTCCCTCTGCTGCTGCTGCTGCTGCAGCTCGGACATTTTGCACAGTTTGATAATGAACTCCATCAAAGAACTGGACGAGGGCGGCGGCGTGGCTGAAGAGGTGCTGCTGCAGGCGGTGAGTGCTGCTGCTGCTGCTGCTGCTGCTGCTGCTGCTGCTGCTTCATTCTTTTTCCCGTTTTTTTTGAATTTTTGTTTATTTATAATTTATTTAGCATTTATTTATTATTTATTTATTATTATTTATTATTTTCTGTTTATTTTTTCATTTATTTGGCCATTTGTTTGCTTTTTGGACTCAGGTCAGCGCCCGAGCGCTGGCCCGCGGGCTTTCTGAGCCAACGCAGCAGCAATTCAAAAAGGCCCTTTTAGAACTCAACTCCAAAGACTCAGCCCCCATCCTGTGAGGGTTTAGGGTTTAGGGTTTAGGGTTTAGGGTTTAGGGTTTGGAGTTTAGGGCTTGGGTTTAGGGCTTGGGGCTTAGTGTTTAGGGTTTGGGGTTTGAGGTTCAGGGTTTGGAGTTTGCGGTTTAGGGTTTGGAGTTCGTGGTTTAGGGTTTAAGGTTTGGGGTTTAGGGTTTGGAGTTCAGGGCTTGGGGTTTAGGGTTTGGGGTTTCAGGTTTAGGGTTTGGGTTTTGGGGTTTAGGGTTGAGGCTTTAGGGTTCAGGGTTTGAGGTTTAGGGTTTAGGGTTTTAGCAGGCTGCTGACAGGAAGCTGAAACCTCAGGCACAACCCCGTTAGGGTTTAGGGTCTAGGGTTTAGGGTTTAGGGTTTAGGGTTTAGGGTTTGAGGGTGCTTTGCAGGGTGCATGACGGCCTGGTGTACGAGTGCTAGTGCCTGGCTCTGGGGGGCCTCTCTGGCTAGCTAGCTACCTGGCTAGCTAGTTAGCTGGCTAGCTCTCTAGCTAGCTAGCTAGCTCTCTTGCTAGCTAGCTAGCTAGCTAGCTGTGACTAGCCAGTGAGCTAGCTAGCCAGTGAGGTAGTTAGTTGCATGTGGCTAGCCAGCAAACTAGCTCATAAGCTAGCTAGCTAGCTAGCTAGCTAGCGGCTAGCTGGCTAGCTATCGGCTAGCTGTCCAGCTAGCTGCTCAGCCGATCCAGCTAGCTAGACCGCTGCTGTTTGCAATCTGCGCTTTTCAGCGGCTAGCTGCTGGCTTTTGGCTAGCCACCGGCTGCTTCAGCTAGCTAGCTAGCTAGCTAGCCAGCTAGCTAGCTAGCTAGCTAGCTGAAGAGACAATGGAGGGACAAAGGGCGCTCCACCCCAGCAGCAGCAGCAGCCGCAGCGGTAGCTGCTGCTGCTTTTGCAACTGTTGCTGCTGCTGCTGCAGCGAAGAAGCTTCGCGGAGTTTTAACAATAGGAAGCAGCTAGCTGCCTGGCTAGCTAGCTACTTGTTGGCTAGCTGTGTCTGGGGCCCATGTCGCATTGGCTAGCTGGCCAGCCAGCTAGCTAGCCACCTAGCTAGCCAGCTAGCTAGCCAGCTAGCTAGCCAGCTAGCTAGCCAGCTAGCTAGCCAGCTACCTAGCTTGCTAGCCAGCTAGCTAGCCAGCTAGCTATCTAGCTAGCTAGCTAGCTAGCTAGCTAGCCGCAGCTCGCTAGCTAGCTAGCTAGCTAGCTAGCCGCAGCTAGCCAAGTAGCTACGGCAAACGTCTTATTTCTTTTGAGGAAAAGAAAAAATCCTTAAAAAGCCAATGAGGGGCTCTGCGTCCGACTGCAGCAGCTGCTGCTGCTTGCTGCTTGCTGCTGCTGCTTGCTGCTGCTGCTTGCTGCTGCTGCTTGCTGCTGCTGCTGCTTTGCTGCTGCGGCTTGCTGCTGCTGCTGCTTGCTGCAGCTGCTCCTACTTTATTTGTCCGTTCAGGCAGCTGTTTCTACGAGGGCTGCGCGGCGTGGAATAAAGGGTTGAGGGTTTAGGGTTTAGGGTTTAGGGTTTGGGGTTTAGGGTTTGGGGTTTAGGGTTCGTAAAAAACGTAAAGAATGCCGCAAGTGGGGCAAAACTCTTGCAGGGGCCCCTCCAAAAGGACTTCTTGAGGGTTTAGGGTTTAGGGTTTGGGGTTTAGAGTTCGTAAAAAACGTAAAGAATGCCGCAAGTGGGGCAAAACTCTTGCAGGGGCCCCTCCAAAAGGACTTCTTGAGGGTTTAGGG